TAATAAGATTCTATGTATCATCTAACGCATCGGGTGTGAGATCGTTGCTGGAAGGGGAAATTAATGGGTAGTAGAGCAATACGGTCACTCACAACACAAGCGCCATCGAGGTCGGCTCCTAGCCATGTCAACAAGTGTATCCAAGCAAACGTATTCATCGTCCTTGGGACCCTAGCTCGGTAGTCGGGAGACACCAGCCGCCGACGCTAACTTCGAAGTGAGGGACTTCATTTCTCTTGACCAAGTCATCGATTAACCTCCTCTTCCAACCGCATCCCCGGCGTGCAAACAACGCATGTCGCGAGAGTCGGTCTGCTGGCATGTGCAAGACGTGGCCCAGCCACCGGAACTTGATGCATGATATAATGGGTATTGAGCGATTCACTCGCTCTTTCTGCAGCAAATACACGACGCCGAACACATTCCTTGTTCACGCGGTGCTCCCACCAGACGTGAGCTAAGCTGCAAAGGCAGCGATGGTCAAACGTAGCTATCCTCTTAAGTCTGTTGACATTATGACCAGGCTGAACGAACGGCTGCATTGTAAACTCTGTCCTTCAGAGCGAGAGCAATGTCGCGCCGGCACCACAGGTGGCGGAGATTAGCAAAAGCACATCGAGCTTTTGCTATACGGTTGGTGATCCCATGTTCCATCCCACGAGTGGTAATGTACCTGAGATGTTTACATTTCTGGACTACTTTTAGCTGACCAGCACCAAGGTTCAGCGCAGTGTCGGATCCCTGTTACTCTTGGATAAGGACTTTGCATTTCGTGGGTGCAAAGCATAACCCGAAACGACTGATAGCCAGAGCTAATTTATCCGGTGAAGCTTGGGAGCTGTCCAGATTACTCAATCTCGTGGGCGTACTACCATTGAAGAGATCGGTTATCTGAAAGCAGCTCCCCACATTTTAGCTCGTGTCCAATGAACGCTGTTCCCGTGACTTCATCAATGACGAAGTTAAAGAGGTACGATGACAACGGGCAACCTTGTCTCATACTGTTAGAGATATTGAAGGGCAGCGACAGTTTGCCATAAACCCTCAGTCTACCCGAACTATGCGTATGCAACGCTCTGACGATCTTTACGTATTTTTCGGGCACTCCTTTTCTCTGTAGACAGTCCCAAAGTGCACATCGATCAACCGGATCGAAGGCACTTTAGATGTCTAGGAAAAAAGTACGGTAGGTCGCCAATAAGTATGGCGGTGCTCCAATAACTGACGTGCGCGTTCTGCAGGGTTTGCTCGCAAGGGCTACATATGCTTGCTTCTCTACTGATTGCCCGAAGGACCTATATAACCTGACGTAAGATGAAGATGTGGTCAATGCAGCCTCGCTTTCGATGAAACCCGGCCCGCTCCTCGCGCATCATTCGTTCGCAGATACAATTTAGTCTATGAAAAAAGACAGACTCAATTGACTTAGAGGCAGTTGAGATCAGACGGATGCTTCTGTAATTGTTACATTCCGAACATGAAATTCTCTTGAAAATTGGGACCATAATGGAGCAGCCCCAGTCTGTTGAGATTGTCCTCTGCTCCCACGGATACACCATTAATTTATGCGATTCCTCTATAAGAGCAAGTCACAGGAGTTATGATGAGGACTGGATGAAGTCCATCTGCTCCTCCGACCTTGTTCAATTTCAACAGTTTGATCTCACATGACTTCTGTGCGTGAAGTTGGATCCAAGGGGACGGCCCAGGGCGAAAGGCGATCAATGACCGATAGACAAGCTGGTAACTCTGGATGACTAAACTGCTTCTCAGAGTGTTCAGCCCACTGTTGTCTCCTCTGCCCGTTTCTCATATCAGACAGAATAACTTCCGATAGTTACCAAGGGCAGCGACTGTTTCCGTCTCCGAGGCAGAACGATCCGAACACGCTTCGCGGTCTCTCTTAAGACTAGCACGCAGTTTCGCCCTGAGACCTTTGCGAGTCTGATTTTATTCGCTTCCAGCCGGAACATGTCGGTGAGCATCCATGTTCCAGAGACTGCATAGAGACCCATTGTCCAGTTTGGCGATTTGATTCACCATATGAAGACATACCTGCTCGTAATAACATCTGGCGGATATGCGATTAGTTATCTTCAACTGAGTTCAGTGAGCTCTTACCCAGTCCGGATGTGGCGATTAGCCAGCCCTAATGGCGTTTATGTTGTGAGTTTCGTTGTCCATCCCCTCCCCTTTAGGTTCCTCCTTCCAATCCGGGTCTCACACAAAACGCATAATATAATATTTAACGTCATATTACTTGCCTGGAATAACTTTTTTGTGTAGTTTTTTAGTATCTTATCATTTGTATTGAGGCACATTAGCTGAGGTGTGTTTCTCACCCTCAACAAACGTGTATTGATGATGATGACTCGGCCCGGATGCCAGCGTATCTTGACACGCATTCAGAACCTCTGATTTCTCAAGTTTGCAAATATCTATGCGCTCACAGCGCCGTTGTTGAAGTCCGCCGAAGCGCACCCGAAGGTCGGCGCAAACAAGCGCATGGTCAGAGTCCACACTCGTAGTTCAAATCGAACAACAGTTATGAACACAGCCTCTCCAGCGATAACTGTTTGCGATGTGATCGATTTGCGTCCATGGCTGTTCCGAGGCTGGTAGGCGCTATGTCACTCTTTTGCTGGTGCTGTGTCGGAAGTTTTTGCTCACGAGAAATAGATGCGCATCTTCACACAGGTGTAGCAACTTCTCACCATGTTGGCCGCCTAGATGAAGCTCTTCAGTGCACAATTTTTTCAACTTGGGCGTTCAAATCACCCGCCAGTACCGTACTTTTTCTGTAACCGAGGAGCACGTTCAATTGATGATAGTAGTCTTTCACCGAGTCAGCGATACAGTTTGTTTGCGCGTAGGTCGCAATGATAAACAAGCACCGTTTGTCTCCACGCGACTTCGATGCTTTGAACGATCCATCCAATCTAACGACGCAATCCGGCAGTTCATTGGGATCCTGTCAACCAGGGCAGTTTAACCCCGAGAGCTAAGAGCACACACCGGCTTGACCGGCATTTGAAGCCGCAGCATTTTCGGAAAAGCGCAATGAGAAAATACCTCCAGTAACGCATGATGGGGATCACAGAGTAACAATAGAACTCGAATTTTGCAGCCGTATTTCTAGGAAACAGCTGATATCTATCGATAAGGTCTGTAGTGTTCGAGCACGTGCTGCCTGTTGGTCAATCTGTAACAAGGTGGGCACATAAAAGCATGCCACTCTTAGGGAGGATCGAGGGCTTCAAATATGAGCAGATGAACTGTCCGTTGGGTGAACATGGACTTGTGGACCGAGCAGGAATGACGCCACGCGATTGCGTGTCGTTTGCAATTAGAAGACACGCTTAGAAAAGTAAGATGGGGCAAGAATTGGAGGGTTGAAAACGGGGATAAAAGTGAAGTCGGAATGAGAAGATAACGTTGAAAAGATGTAAGAGGGGAGTAAGAAGACGGAAGGTCTAAGCCAAGGGTGTCCAAACTTTTTCAAGCAGGGCCACATTGTGTGAGGTAAAAATATGTCGGACCATATTCAGTCTGGCCTTAAGCTGATAACAAAAATTACACATGTACGAAAAAAGTCCAAATTTGAATTTATTATTATATGATGTGGCCGCGGGCCACTTGAAATGTTAACTCGGGCCGCATTTGGCCCGCGTGCCGCACTTTGGACATCTCTGGTTCAAGCAGTGGCATCCAAACCCCTATCCACCTTGATCGATGCAGTAAATAGAGCGCCGTTAATTATTCCCTATGACAACCAACGTAACTCATTGCGTTGCGTTGCGTGGGCGGAATACTGTCAAAAGACAAAAGCGTGATTAAGATTCTCAAACAAAACCTTTGGTTCAAAGACCTGACCACCAGGCAGCGAGGTTTTGGTAATGTGCTACACTGGGTCCATTTTATTGAACGAGAAGCCACCCTCCAACCCCCAACTTGGAGGGTCAGAAGACTGTTGTGTCTTCAGGGCTCGAATTAGGGGCTTCCTAGATTGTGCCACGCGATTCAAAAGACAAACCACTGGACGAGTAGTATATTGGCGAACACAGAACAGGCCGAGGTGGGATGAAAACACACTGATACAGTTCAAATCACGGGTGTGCTCGTTTGATTTTATATGTCTCAAAGAAACAAGGGACGTGTGAGTGGCGTGAAACAAGCGATAGTAACAAATGTTCTGCAACATGGAAAAACACTAGTCTGCTTGTAACGGATACTGTTCTGATGCAAGGCACACGGTTTCTTGTGGGAAATCGCGCACTTACCTTTCCGAACAAGTCAATTTGTTTCGTTTCTGTGCGCATTTGACTTTGGTCTGTGTGAAATTCTGTTTTTCCATCCAAGTTACAAGATTTGGCCTGAATCAGTGGCGCCAACTCGACTTGATTTTCAGACAACGCGATTTTCCTTGGAGCAGGCCGTTCGAGACCTAACAAAGACCGAATTTATTAGGTCTTAATCCATCGACCAGTCTGGAATTAGTGGCTAAAGGTGCAAAAGCACCGTCCATCATAGCGCAGTGGCTCACTGAGGCCCGCAAACCGTTGCACCACGTTGAGATCCAGTCTTATCTCGACGAAAGCTACAAACATCCTAATACGTGAAATCTGTGAAGCCTTGAAGTTAAAAGCCTCTTCATCATCTTCAGCTGATCTGCCGAGAATCTCAGACTTCATACCCTGACTGATGAATTTTTTGCATTTAATCCTCTGTGCGTTTGTAATTTGTTAGACCCAACTCCAAGTGACACCCATCGGCCACCTAAGCCCTTCTGGGTTCTTCGCAGTCCATGCCATTTAATCTGCCAGCTCTATAATTCCTTCGTTGTTAGGTTTCATCCGCATGAGTGTGCTTTGGAACACCGTCGCCTATATTTCCTGGCATCGGTATCCTATTATATACGTTCCTGTTTCCCCTTTTTCTGTGCATTTCGACATTTTCAGCTCTATCATCTGTACACGGTATGTACTCTTTTTTCTACTTAGGCCTGTTTACACCATCCCCGCCACCTCGCTGCTCAAACCGCCAAGCATTTTGCCTCTCAATCCCTGTACGATGCGCTTTTCTCGATTCAACTGATGCTGGATGATAATCAGAAATCTTCCAACGTTAGACTAAGAGTCAGCGGCGGGCTTCTGAACGAAATTGAAGGGTTTGAGGTGAGCCCGTTTGATATCCTTACTCGTCTACCCCCATTTGCTTATGGTTTTGATTGTGTTTGATTGTGCGTGGTTTTTGGCTTAAAAGCTTTGACTTGTAAAACATTCCGAAATGTTTGCTATCTTTATAATGGTTTCCTTCCGATTGTTCTGCTGATCCTTTCATACTCCTATTTAGCTGGACTTGGCCAAGCGTCCCGTAACCGCACTTCTGCGCTCTCGCTCTCTTGTTTTTCACAGAATAGCATCTTGATGGATGTCGAAAATTTTGATGACAATCGGGCAAGAGCGCAACTGGAGAATTGCCTGAAGGGTCTTTTGCCCTCCGTTTATCGATTAGCTGATGCACCTCTAACGCAGGCGTCTCAAAAGGACACCGTGTACTCTCAATGCATGCAACTGCGACAGGCTCTCAACAGCTTGCTTGCCGAATATGGCCAAAAGGTATGTCTGGTTTTTTTTAATCATTAAGGCTGTTTTTATTCGTTCAGGCTTCGATGGTCGGTTTAGTTTTCCCCACCTTTATTTGTTTTCTTTCTACTTTCATTTGTTCCTCTTAGCCGATTGTTCGTTCTTCTCTGGACTCGGCAATCCAACGTTTGTTCAATGTAACCGGACGTTTAAAACAATTGCTTGTTCGTATTGCAATCGATCACACCACGCAAACTTTGTTGGAGAGAGATCAACGTCTGATGGCTGTCGGAGACGCAACACAGTTCGGTAACGAGAAACTCATGGATTCAGCATGTCAACATCTTCAAGTCAGTTTTCCAACTCTATCGTTCATCTTTGGATGTATTTTGTGCCAGCTAGTGTCATCCATTTCAAGATTCGCGTACCCTTGTAACACTGAACTGGGACGAAACGGTTGCTCGCACATCGAGCCATGATTGGCCCACGACGACCCACCATCTTCTTTATCTTCCTTATACTCTAACCCATTATTAATGGCAACAGCATCATTCTAGCGACGAAACTGATCGCGAATTTAGAAAGTCATGCGAAGTGTATATGAAAGGTACTGTGGGCTGTAAATCTTAGGTTATACGCAAGGTCTAGGGGTGGGAATGGTTGGGCCGAATAAGTATCGCATATTCCCGCATCCGTAGCTTTTAAAAGAAAGCTATCGTGCGCGGGAAAATTCGTAATTAATTTTACAACGTTTATGGCTACGGCGCAATCTGTACTTCGTGGCAATATAGTTGTCACCCGGTTTATTAGTGTGGTGCCGTGACTTTTAAATGTGTAATGTGGTAATAAGCACGATAGGCAATCTTCGGTCCTCCTGAATGTAAGCGCTGTTATGGGAATGTAAGCCACCACTTCGGTCAGATACGGTCCCAGTGCTCGGAATACCACAGGCTGACTTCAAAGTCGACCGAAGCCACAATTGGGATTTGTGTCGCAATCCAAGACACACGGCGGGCACACCAAAACCTGACTATGGACTATAAGCCACCACTACTACCCATACCAGTGACCGCCCTGTCATCTCCACTCCAACGGCCAATCGGAGCGTTTTGTCGACACCTACAAGGTAGTGTTCTTGAGTGCTCGTGGGAAGGGTACAAAGGCGACAGTTCAGTTCTGTTGACCAACTAGGATCCGAGCACCGAAGTGGGGTGGATCCAGTTGCCACCACTCACGTCGCAAGAATAACAATATATAACAACGGCAAGACAGTGGGGTTAAAAGCAAACGGAATGTAAAGAAAATGGTAGTAAGAAAGAAGTGCGTTTAACTAATCCGATTGTAACGAAATTTAACAACCAGATGCAAGAAACTGAATATAACTACGCCACTGACGGCGTGCCTACGCCATGTCAGATACGCTCTCTAACAAATTGGTGGTTACCATCCCGAGGCCCCCATCCACGAAGACGGCATGCATCCGCCTGATCAAGTCTCAGTCGATTTCCTTATGCCACTATGTTACGTCATGAACTGGCCACCACCCGGTTTCACCCAACTTGGCGCAGCCACAACGTATAATGCACGCCGAGGAAGCCGATCAGCGGGCATACGGAGGACATGGCCTAGCCAACGTAGTCGATTAAGATTCAGCAAACACTCGATGGAGGCATCAGAAGGCTTCTTGCCCAAAGGCAACTGGCGGACCTCAGCGTTGCTCGCCCGGTGGGCACCGATGATCAAACACGGCCAGGCCTTTAATGTCTTCTCCGAAAACTGGCCAGGTCTCTGATCCATGCAATAACACTGACCTTATCGTAGCGTTATACACCCTACCTTCTCCATAGATGTTTGAGTTTCTGGAAAACCACACGAGTCTTGGTGATACGTGAAGTAACTTCCTCAGTGATGTGACCACCAGAAGTGACACAGCTACCAAGGTAAGTGAATCAATCCACCACTTACAGTGATTGTTCGATGATAGCTAAAACCGATGGTGTGTCAGCCCAGTCCTGCAGCAGTATTTTGCCCTTTGAAGGTGTAAAGTACATGCCGAAGCGTGCGGCGCTGCGCGTCAGTCTATTCAACTGGGTTTGCGTGGCCACTGCGTTGGACCCAAGAAGAGCTATGTCGTCCGCGCACTCCCGAGTTGTCAGTCGGTCACGTGGCAAAACCTCCACTCCGCTAGAGTCTGGATGAACGGAGTAACTCATTGGCATTTTGATGACAAAGTTGAAAGGGAAAGGAGATATAGGACAACCCTGGTGAACGCCACTTGTCAGGGGGAACTCAGGATACAGTTTCCCGTAGACCTCGGGAATCACGGTAGAGTGACTACATAAATGGAAGTAGTTTAGCTGACACACCGTTCATGGATAGGCAGTGTCACAAGCTGGCTCGGTCAACAGAGTCGAAGGCAGCTTTCAAGTCAAAGAAAACCACCATTGTCGGTCGTGTGTACGTGTCTCTGCTCTAACACTTGGTGAAGAGTAAATATGTCGTCGATACAACCACGACCAGGGCGGAAGTCAGTCTGGCTTTCAGTGGTTTGGTTCTCACGGGGATCAGTAAGTTGTCGAAGAATGATTCCTGTGAGGAGTTTGGATGCATTGGAAACAAGGCTGCTGCCTCGATGATGTTCGCACAAAGTACGCTAACCCTTCTTGAAGATGGACACGACAGACGCCAGTCTGAAGGTACCTCTTCACTGTTCCAAATCGTGCTAAATAGAGTAGCGGGTCCAGTAAATGAAAAGTCTCCACCATATTTTAGTAAAGATGGAGGAAGGTCGTCTAGTCCAGGAGCCTTGTTTCGCTTTAACACAACGAGCTCATGTCGAATCTCTTCCGAAATGGGTATAACATCTGCTTCTCACAACGGCTCAGGCGTTTCGGCAATCGGCAATATCGCAGCATGCATGCTGAACTGCTCTTCAAACTGTTCCGCCCAACGGACTAGTCGACGACGCTGAGAATGGACCAGCTGCCCGTCACTCTCTGCTATTGCCTTGGTAACTGATGATTTTCTCGGACCGATGTTCCAGAAGAGCTGAAATAGCACTCGTATGTTCGCAGTAGCACTGGCTTTCTCCACCTCTTGGTCGCTTGCCATCCACCAACGTTCGCGATCGATTCGAAGGCTCCTCATCATGCGTCGTTAAAGAGGGTTACGGACATGCTGAAACTAATTGCGCGTTTAGTCAAACTGCTCGGTGCCCCAGAGATCCATCCAATTCGGACCTCTCAAGTTGGGTGCACAGCATGCGTCAAAGTGATTCTTCATGGCACATTTGAGACGATTCCAGTCAACCTTCGGTTCACCAACATCATTAATCACTGACAATTGGTGGGTAAGTTCGTTATGATATTGTTGCACTTTCACACTGCGAGTTCATGTTACAGGCAAGAAGGTCAGAAGATAGGCGCCTCGTTGAAGCGGGGCGAGTGAGCGCCAAGCGTGCTCGCACTAGGTCATGGTCGGAAGCCAAGCACGTGCTCCAAATTGACCGACAGTCAGACTGATGTGGGCCATCTGTAGCTTATGGCAGCATGGTAGATTTGGGTCTAGGTCATTGAGGAATTCGGTGGGCGCCAGATGTCGGGGTGTGAACGTTTGTGCTAGTATGCAGTGTTGCTAAAGTAAAGGTTAGGGTGGGTGCAAAGTTGCAGAAATCGATCACCCTTGATTGTGCTACATATATATATATATATATATATATATATACATATATATATATATATATATATATATATATATATATATATATATGGTTGGCGGCATCCGGTTTCGGATTTGCCTGTCACTGTGGCCAGCCACAGGACGCCTGCGCCTACAGAGGGACCATGGGTGGTTTGCGTTGCACCACCCACAGCTCCAACCACGCACTCCATATGCAGTGTAAACCCGAAGGAATAAGACCGGGAGGCATGCGGATGGGAGCCACGTTTCATCAACGGAGCCGGCCCACACTCCTTCACAGCAAACACAAGCACGCTGTATTTGGGAATCAAGCTCACACAAGGCGGTGGCTGGACCGTAGTCCGCTTTACACTGAGTGCATGGAACCACTCAAGGACTGTGCACCCCGTCCCCTCCAGCAACGACCAACTGTCTCCTGGAGCGAGTATGGACGAGGTAGTGGGTAATAGACAGGTAGGCACGTTGTCAACATGCACATCAAGCGTAGCCACACCGGGGATATCAAACAACAGCCAATCACTTGAGAGAGAGATACAAAGAAAATAATTCGATTAATGCATAAGGAAACGGTGACATAAGCCTTAAGTTAATGAGCATATGAAATAAGTTGTTTACAAACGTATCCTAGATAAGTTCACGAGGTCAGAAAGTATACCTTACGGAAATGCCACGAACACAAAAACGTTATGGAAATCGAATACAAATGGCTTAAGCGAGGTGTGCAAGTTAATGGAATAGAGTACAGGTAGACATTTATATGAGGAAGAAAAGCATTAGGGCAAAATTGAAAACCCACCACTTGAAATAAAGAGACTTAGCATGCAAGCACTCGGTTAGTAAATCGAATGCAGCGTACCTACAAACGCTGCGCCGGTGCTGCCTGCCTTCTCTGCAAGACCCGTCGTCGCTTCTGTAGTGGTCCCGAGTGGCCTCGCTCATGGTTCACTAAGCGTCCTGACTAAGGCACTCGCGACCGTATGTTCTACAGCACCATGCGCCTGATGTCGATGGAGAACAACCCACGGTGCTTGCCGTTTCCGCACTTGCCACTTCTTTGCATGCATGAGGGCTTTCTCCTGCACCTCGGCAACCGACTTCGTGAACAAATCGCACCATGCACGCCGATCAACCGCCTTCGATTCCCATGCTTTTAATTATGTCCAGGATATATATATATATATATATATATATATATATATATATATTCGCATGTCTGTATTTAGACAATATACCATCAGAACAATGGCAAAATAGAAGACCATAGGCCTACGTAAGAAAACAAAATAAGAACAGTTCTTTTTGGGTTTTACACACGCCCTTTTGCTTTTTTTGTTTTTTAACTATTTAAATGTATACTTGTGATTAGGCATCAGATAAAACGTCACAACAACACTGGCGCGACTGATTGTTACGTGCCATCACATGCAACGTTTGCATCCACAGGATTTCCGAGTCACCTGGTCCCCTATCTGGGAGGCGCACTAGTCCGACTGAAGTTAAACTTGAGGCTGCTTTCATCATACCCCTTTTCCATGTCATTGGTTGTCCACCACGATACTTTTCCCAGTCGCATCCGGGAAGCGGAAACAACGCTCGCCGGGGAAGGTAATAGGCTGGCATCCGCAGTACGTGGCCAAACCAACGCATGCGGTGTCGGAGAACAACGTTTTGAAGGCTTGGGTTGTTCGCTCCAAGCACTCGTTCACATACCTCCGTATTGCTTATGTGATGTTGCCGCCACACACCAACGATCCTTCGCAGACAACGGTTGCCAAAAACTGACAGTCGTCTATAGAATTGAAGACTGGCAGTTCAGTTTGTTCAGATGGCGGTTGAACTGTTGCGAAGCTCAGCGAACAGTTCAACCGCCAATTGACAGTCGTCTCATGTCTTCGTAGCGAACAAGCCAGGTCTCACAGCCGTACAGCAGGACCGTACGCACGGAAGCATTGTACACTCTGTCCTTGAGCTTGAGACTGACGTCACGACGACGCCATAGGTGTCTCAGTTTGATGAAAGCAAGGCGGGCTTTTGCAATGCGCTGTGAAACCTCATCTCCAACACCGCCACCAGCCGTGATGCGACTCCCTAGATAAGTGAAGCAATCCACTTGTTCCAGAATGTCACCAGCAATGGTGAGCGCGGACGCAGGCCCCTGCCAATCCTGAAATAGCATTTTACATTTGGCATGGGTGAAATACAAGCCATAATTAGATACCTCAATCGCTAAGCGGTTCAAGGTGTTTTGGACGGTTTGCAGATCGTCACCCAGCAAAGCGATGTCATCGGCGTAGTCCAAGTCTGCGATTCTGGCGCCAGGGAGAAGCTCAACACCGCAATTCGGGACACCTTCCAGCGCTCGTTGCACATCTTCAATAGCAACATGAAGAGGAAAGGCGAAATAGGACAACCTTGGTGAACACCGCTGGTGACAGCAAACGAAGGGGAAAATCTGCCGTAAATCCTAATTTTGCCTGACTTGTGAATGTACAGTTCCCTCAGAATGGTCAAGAAAGACTAATAATTACATTCATTTGCAATATTTCGAGAGCATTTTGCGCTCCAGCCAAGGGTTTATAAGGAGTAAAGAGCAGTAAAGATAATCTACATATAGATTATTGTTAATTACGACTAACTGAAGCTTCTAGACTGGGGAGAGAGTTAGTGCATCGATTCCAGACAATCGTTCGCAAAGAAGAGACTCATTATCGATCGCTCAGCGGAGATATGAAAAAGAAATATAGAATTGACGAATGTTCACTGCAATGGGAATCACGGTTCACATTACGATTACGCGTCGTAATCGAACCACACAATAGGGGCTTCTAAATGACCCTACAATAAGTAACATCGTCATCAGTACACGTTAGCTGAACGTGCGAAACACACCTCAGCTAATGTGCCGCAATACAAAAGGACGAGACTAAAAATTAAACTACAAATATATGATGTTAAATATTATATGCAATTTGCATGAGATCGGGATTGGAGGAGGAACCTAAAGAAAAGGGGATGGACAAAGAAATTCACAACACAAACGACATTGGGGCCGGTCCTTGGCCATATCAACAAGTGTGTCCAACCTAACGTGTTCATCGTCCTTCGGATCCCAGCCAGGCAGTCGGGATGCACCAACCGACGCCAACTTCGAAGTGAGGGTTTTCATCTCTCTCGACCAACTCATCGCTTGGCCTCCCCTCCTCTTTCAACCGCATCCCCGGCGCGCAAACAACGCATGTCGCGGGAGTCGGCGTGCTGGCATGCGCAACACATGGCCCAGCCATAGAAACCCGATACGTGATATAATGGTGCTGAGCGGTTCACTCGCTTTTCCTGCACCAAATACACGACGCTGTACACGCTCATTGCTCACGCGGTGCTCCCAACAGACGAGTTAAGCTGCGAAGGCAGCGATGATCGCACGTGAGTAGCCACTTTATGTCTGTCGACCTGATGGGCCAGGTTTCACAAGTGTGCCGGAGGGTTGAACGAATGGCCACATTGGAAAATCTGCCCTTCAGGGCAACAGTGATGTCGCGTCGGCGCCACAGGTAGCGGAGATTGGCGAAAGCACCTCTAGCTTTTGTTATGCGGTTCATAACCTCATCTTCGATCCCACGAGCGCTAATATAGCTGCCCGGGTAGTTAAGTTCCTGAACAACTTCTAGCTGATCACCACAAAGCATTAGCGCGGGGGTGAGTCCTTGCCAATCTTAGAGAAGTACTTTGCATTTCGATGGAGCAAAGCATAGCCCAAAACGACAAACAGCCAGTGCTAATCTTTCCAGTGCTGCTTGGCATGTTTGGGTGCTGTCACAGGTTACGGTAATATCGTCCTCATACTCCAAGTCAAAGAGTCGCTCACCAGGAAGTAGCTCCACACCTTCTAGGTCGTGTCCCGCGAATGCTGTTTCCATGACTTCGTCAACTGCGAAGTTAAGTAGGAAAGGTAACAGCGGGCTACCTTGTCTCACACCGTTGGCGATACTTAAGGGTGGCGACAGTTTGCCCTAAACCCTCACTCTGCCCGAACCATTCGCGTATAGCGCTTTGATAATGTTTAGGTGTTTATCAGACACACCTTTCCTCAGCAAACAGTTCCAAAGGGCACATCGATCGACTGTGTCGAATGCACTTTATATGTCAAGAAACACGACAACGGTGGGTCGCCAATAAATATGGCGGTGCTCCAACAATTAACGCAAGGTGAAGATGTGGTCGATGCAGCCCCGACCTCTACGAAACCCAGTAAGTAACATCAGACGGGTAGGGACAAAGAACCCCAACACGGACGATGTTTATATCGGCTCCTGGCGGTGTTGACAAGTGCATCCAACCAAACGTGTTTCTGGTGCTTTGGACGCCAACTTTGAAGTGAGGGATTTCATTCTTCTTGACCATCTCATTGATTGGTCCCCTCTTTTCTTCTACCCAGATCCACCCACTTCGCGGGAGCCAGTCTGCTGGTATACACAACATTAACCATCGGAGCGGTTCACTTGCTGTTCCTGCACCAAATAGGCGACGCCGAACGCGCTCATTGCCCATGTGGTGTTTCCACCAGGCATGGACTAAACTGCGAAGGTAGCGATTGTGGAACGTTACTAGCCTCTTTAACTCGATCTGATGAGCCAGGTTTCACAACTGCATATTGCGGTTGAAGGTATGACTGCGTTGTAAACACTGTTCTTCTGGGCGAGACTGATGCATTTGTATAGCTGCCTAACTGATCACCACCAAGGGTCAGCGCAGGGATGGGGCCATGCCACTCTTGGGGAATGACTTGGCATTTCAAGGGTGCATGGCACGTCCCGAAACGACTGAGTTCCGGTGCAGATTGACACGCTTGTGCGTTGTAACAAGTCTTGAAGGTGATCACCTGGAAGCAGTTGTACAACTAGATCGAATTTGGCTAACTCGCTGTCCTTAACTCCATCGATTTCGTAGGAGTACCTTGAGGTCGAGGCGATTCCTAGCGTTCCTTACACTGGAAATCATCCAAGCTGCTCATCTGGCCGGGTGTCTTTATGCAAACGCTCACTTAACTAACTATACCTGCCGAGATATCCGGACATACCCAGGACCAAGCCTTTTTATCGAACGTTTTGCTGAAGTCGACGAACAGTAGTTATGGTTGCTGGTTTCGCTCGCATCGTTTCCGCTGAATCTGATAAGCTTTATTTCATGATATCAATCCTGCTGCGTTTGCTCGACATCCTGATTTTTCTTCGATCACTTTGAGACCCAACGCATGGGAGCGAGATGCTTGAACAGAATGCTTGTTTTCGTTTTTACAGTATAGCTTAGCAAAAGGACGCATTGTTCACTTTTACCTTCGTACATTGATTACACAATGATTCAGTTAAATAGGAATTTGTTAACCCTTTTATCTTAACACGTTCCCCAAATTAAGACAATGCACGAGTCCTTTCGTAACGATCGCTTTCCCGTACCATATGATGGCGCTCCACCGTCACCCCCGCTCTACCGGGTCACAATTTACGGCGTGCTCTCTGGCTTTCACTTGAATCCGAAGTGTTGATGATTATCTTATACCATTGTCCCTCGGCCAACTTCAGGAGACAGTCAAAATATCGACGCTACGCATCATCATATCCCCACTGTGTGTAGATAGTACCCGTTTTTATTTTTCTTGCTGTGACTTTGAATAAGACAGCCTGAGACGTGAATATTGACATTCGATTCCTTCTACTATTCTTTTGTACTCAATACGCAGACCAAACTGCTCATAATACCATGAGTTAATTGGCGACTTAGGAGGCTGCCCTCCCCTCTGCACGGCAGTAATGTGCAAGTCAGTGGATAGTGAACGGCGCTATATCACATCTAGTAACTGACTCACATTGGTCGTTGCCGTCCTCCGTAGCTCAGTGGTTTCAACCACGGACTGGCAGCAGTCGAGTTACGGGTTCGCGCCACACAGGGGTCAGATGAACTGCGCATTGCTGACGATTATCGAAAGTAAGAAACGACCGTACAGTGCTTCCCTTCTTGCGTGATGACTGTCTGACTGAGTCGAGATGTGATAAATCTATTTAGACACATTGTTGCCAAGTTCCTGCGACTACTTCAGCACATTTTCTGCTAGTTTCTTACAGTTTTCTGCCCTGTCATTCCTGAGTGTGTTTGCTTGGATCGTCTTGTAATTTCATCTGAAACCAACTAACCATGAAAGCAACATACCCTAATCTTGTCATTACTTAAAGTGTTACACCTGACACCAATGGCCCTATGGTACCGTGAGTAACCATAATTAACAGGAATCATCGCGAACTCTTCATTCCCTTGCTTACAGTTCGATCCCCCCACTTCTGGACTTCCAAATTCATTTTAGCTTCGCCCATTATATCTCGTCGCACGCCTTAGGTCGATTTTTATCCACTTTTATTCTTTACTCCATTTTTCTGCTAATTTCTTACCCACGGTGCACATATTCAGGATCATTCAGCCGCGATGGTCGCAGGGGCCTATGAACTGTGCTCGTTGACTTCTAACGAAGACTCCTCGTGGCTCGCCCAGTTAGCTTGTAGCCAGTTGGAACAATTATGTCCCCAAGTGATCAGCACAGCTTACTTGCTTTTTAAGTACCCGCATTCCAAAGTGAGTTCGCTTTTCATAATATGTAGTTTCATCTTTCAGTTATGTGCCCTGTTGATGTGCATAATAACCTAATCACATCTGTGTGGTTTGAATGTTGGCTTTAGATTTGATAGTCAATCTGCTATTTAGCTACCCCGGATCGCGAAAAATTTGGGGAAAATCCGCATTTTAGATAGAGGGCAACAGCGACACTGAATTCTCTCTCTTGACTTGTCATGTGAGTTCTGCGATCCCTGAGGCAGCAGTTTTCCCTTCATGTTTTGCTTGCCTTGTTATATGTCGCAACCTGGCCACTAAACGGACTCAAACAGCAGCTCAGGCATGGGCGATTGATCACATCTCTACGAGGTAATCGGTGGCTATGCGATGGACATGGTCAGACTTGCATAGGCGGTTCAAGTTCAATGTGCTACCCAGTATGGCATTGAAGCATTCGCTGTCCAACTGCAGCCGACGAATCTTAGCTCACTTCAGCGTGATCCAAGCGCCGAAGTTCCGATTCGTCGTATCTCCATGGTATCAATAAATAACCATAGCAAGGAAACTTGGACAGCATGTGTGGGGAGTTTGGCAAAGCAACTCTAAACACAGTAACGTCACTGATTGCGCGACTGCACCACTGGCGTTGTTCATTCCAAGATTCATATCCACGACAAGAGCAAGCATCAGTCTAACCAAGTCTCACGGTCAATATCTTCATACCTTTGGGTAACCTTATCGGCGGCTAACCACCTAGCGTTTTCGCCCAACTAGACACAGTGGCGGCATGTAATGCCTACCGAGAGTAGTCACTGGGCTTACGGTGGACTGCCAACTGCCCCAACAATAGGTCAGTGGACATGATTGACAATGAATCAGTTATTATCTCACTAACCGAAAGCTTTCTTCAAGTCAAGTCGAACTAGGCTTTATGAACCCGACTGGGAACATTTTCCGCATTTTACACTATCGCTGCGAATGTATTGAAGCATAACGTGGTCGTGGAATTGCAATAAAAGCGTAAAACATGCATGCACATCACTCCATTAGGCGTTCACGCGTGGTGCTGTTAAGTTTCTTGGAGTCCACAAGAAAACGGGATAGATACGGTAAGCTCGAGTTGTGATAACGTGTTGTACGAGGAAATGAAACCCTAAATTTAGAGCGGGTAGATGAGCAAAAGAGGGATTTAGGTGAATCAGCGTGAGGGGTTTGAAAAGCGTCATTTCAAACATGCACAACGAAGCCAACCAGTGACTCTCAGGACAATCCACTACACTTGGGAATGAGCTTGATGGAACGCACAATCAATGTGAAATCATTTTGTAGAAGACCACGAAAAACGAAAGGCGAGCAATATGACCAATGGGGAAAAACACGAATTTGTCAATTAAAGCGTAGGCTACTAAAAGCTTTTTGAGTCTGAGGGCATAGAATGATAATTTCCGCTCTTTTCGTCAGCGTGTGTTGATCAAGATAGATGGTGAGATCAGTATACACCTAGGCACTTAACAGTGGATGAACTGGGTATCTTGTAGTCGCTCAGGACCATGAACCCATGTTCCTGATCAACTGAAACAACACTACTGTCCCCAGTCGATCAACCTTTCTACATCTCATGAGTCCTTACCGCCCACTCATACTCCCGGTCAATTCTAGAATTCCTAGTCGGACGTTGTTTCAGCCTCTGCCGTCACACCGAAACTGAATGCCCAGGCAGATTTCGACCTTGTTCACTCGTTATACATCCACCATACGAACGGTGCTTCTCGGACATCGGTGGTCGCTGTCCGTGATTTCTTAATATACTCGATGCACATTGGGACCTAGGAATGTCTGCTGTTAGACATCAGCTGGAGGCATTCTTTATAACCGATCCAGCACCCCCACCAGATATCGAGAATGGATCCAGAACATCCTTGGTCCAGCACGACTGAACCGATTGAATTCGCAGTGGCCTTATCTGTCCATAGGGTAAGATCGGCTACACTACGACATTGTAGATGACATCTTTGCTCCGTGGCGTGATGTCATGCTGCCCCATAGACTATACTGGTGGGCACCATCAGCAAGACAACAGCTAAAATGAGCATCTAGTTCACTTGCAATCAAACGTGTACACTGGACTGAACATCTTGATGAGCAGCTCTATCAGTTCGACGTGCATTTCTGTTTAATTGACTCATCTGAAGTCGCCTGTGACATGATGCTGAAGCGCTCCAAGGCAACTAGCATTGTTAGCCTTCCTCTACCCTTGACAAAAGGCAATCGCGGCTCACTAGTGCCTGATTTGGCTACTCTGTTCTGCTATTTTCGGCTCAAGAAGGAGGTATCATCTGACTATCCTTGGTCACCTACCTTCCCCACTTATAAGACTGATCAAAACATGTTTTGGGTGAGTCATCGTGATGTTTTATCTTCACTGCCTGAAAGTCACTCACTCTCACCATACTTTGACTGTTCACTCATTCTTGACAAATTCTTATCGATGAAAGTTGGACTACTTTGTCATATTGACGAGTGGCCATGAACCGCACCTCTATTTCTCACCAGTTACTCAAACTGCATCATGCTTAACAACGATCGTTATAGTCTGGAGAACAGTTAATCGTTCCTCCTTGTAGTGGAGTGCACTAGACACATTTCCTTCTACTCTGGACTATGTACCAAGATTCACTATTCAACAAAAGGGTGTGTTTACCACGGAGAAGCAGCTCTTAGGGATGGTCGTATCTCTTTCACTTTAACCTCATGATCGAAAAGATCACGAATGTCTCTATTCTGTCCTGTTCCACTCCTTTCGAAGTAGAGGATTTTTAACTGACCGACGGCATAGTTTTCTTTTGACCAAACTCCGCTGTAAAAGCTGACAGATTCCTACACACTTTGGAGTCTGTTTTGCACCTTCAGGGCTTAGTATACAGACCTTTTACCTTTCCCATTCACCGAACAACTACTCGAAGCAATCAGTCGTTAGCTTGGCCATCTGTGCTTATGTTTGTACGCATCTCTAGAACTTGTGGCGTTTTTAAAGCTTCATTCATTTATGATGGAGGGAAATAAACTTATTATCTAAGGGTTGAGAGGAAAAAGCCATTCATTGCGATCGCTATTCCTGACTGCGCCCTGGACACAGACGGTTAGTGCCCACCCATTGCTATTTGTGCGGGTTGTACCTTAACGTGGTGCATGTTTCGGTGATGCACTGAGCACCTTCAGAACAATCATACCAGATTGGTCAATATTTGGAGACCATACAAACTCCCTCCAGGTTGGGCGTTTGAGTGAGAGCGTCTCCTTACTCCATGAAACGGACTCTCTGTAGCCCAGTGCCAAAACACCGCTGTATTGTGGTCAGGTTTTTGAACCAAAAACTGCTTGAGAACCCTTATCGCCCACCTTTCTAGGCCTGAGCGACTTGACAATATTTTTCTCCCACAGTGAAACGACCTTATCATCATACTGTGGCTGTCGCAGAGGATAATCAACGATGTCCTATCTGCTGCACCGAGTAAAGTGGATAGGGGTGAGGATCTTATTGCTCAGACCTTATTGTCTTCTTACCCCTCCTCTTTCGCATTTTCATCTTCATCGTCCTCTTCCAACTTTACTCTTTCCTTCCTGATGCACACCATCTTCGATCCAGCTGTGGATGCAATTGCGATTAGTTACCGCTGGAAAGGATGTGTCTCTACTCCCGGTCGATTTAAGGCTCGATCATGGATTGCGACCATACACTTGCATTAACCGATTTCCGGGTTCGCTTTGGCGGACACCTGCAACGAAGCTATGAGCGCATAGACACCAGCCAACTGGCGAAGCCAGCTGTATTTAGTACGTATCCAATTGCGCTGGCATGCGCGTTGATTAAGTGCTCGACCTCGATCTCCGCCATGGGTACCAAAATCCAACGATTGTCGTGTTCCTCGGTATCCGCGCTACATTCGATTCTGTCGGCAGGTCTGCATTGTGGCACTTTTTGTTGAAAAATGGCGTTGCCGGAAAGTTCGTTTCCGTACTGCGTGCTATGTACAGTCTGACCTCGGGTAGAGTTAGGGCTTATGGCAAGCTTTCGCCTTCCTTTGTTGTCACCAGTGGAGTTCGACAAGGATGCCCTATCTCCCCATTCCTTTTCAATTTTGCCATTGTGGATGTCTTAATGAAATGCTCTGGATAATTCATTGAGCGCTAGCGTTGGGCTCCTCCTAGGTAGCCGAGTTGTTGACTTGGACTACGCTGATGATATCATCTTGCTGCGTGACGGTCCACAGGCCGTCCAACTTGCACTCAACCGCTTGGCGATTGAAGCTTCAAAGTGTTGGATTACTTAACGTTTTGATTCGTTCTCCAAGCTGAGTAATTTAATGACAAACGTTTCACGACTTCACTCAGTGGCATCTTCATTGCACTTTCCGTGAGATTTTTTTCTACGGAGCAGTGCACTGAAGATGCCACTGAGGGAAGTAGTGAAACGTTTGTCATTAAATTACTCAGCTCGGAGAACGAATCGAAACGTTAACTACCAACCCGAGCTACAGGTATTCCGAATTATTGGATGGCTTTTTCCCCATCCAAGTGCAAGACTTTCGGATGCCTGTAACTGCACTCACTCTTGGTGGTAAGACACTGGAAGTTACGAAGAGTTTTGCCTACCTGAGTAGCTGCATCACAGCCAGTGGAGCGGTTGAAGACAAGGTTTCGATACATATCTCAAGAGCTCGCCTCGCTTTCTCTAAGCTGAGGCACTTGTGGATCCGCCATGACATCCGTCTATCCGTTAAAGGGCGGGTTTATTGTGCGACTGTCCACGCTTTACTGTTGCACGGTTGCGAGACTTGGCCTGTTCGTATCGTCGACCTGCGCCGTCTCTCTGTCTTTGAGCACCGTCGCTTGCGATTCATTGCCCGTGTATGGTGGCTGCACCACGTGACCATTGTGGAAGTCAGACAGCGTGTCTTGAGTGGAGGCAGCTGCTCACTTGCGGAGTTCGTCCCGCTGCGGTGGCTTAAACACGTACTTCGCATGCCCGCTCATCGTTTTCCGTGTCGGGCGTTGTTCGCGGTTGCTCGACAGGACTCGATGAGACGGTGCCGTGGACAACCTACAACATGGAGGAGCCACGTGAAAAAGCGGACGAAACAGTTGGCATTGTCGATTGTTCTCGACTCTCTAGTTTGGATTTCAGAGATAAGTAGGGTCACTGGTTGGAGACGGTAAAGGTCATGGCTCAGAAACGAGGTCAATGGCGGAGGTGTATGTCTGCGTGTTGCGGTGATTTCCCTTCCCCAATAAAACAAACAGTTAGAAATACCCAACTGTGAGTGAAAAATGCTGCATGCTCTTTTTCTTCCTATTCCTATCCTGTTTTCTTATTCCGTCATTTTTGATGGCACAATATTTGTACCGGAGTTTATATATATATATATATATATATATATATATATATATATATATATGTCGCAGCGTTTGTAGGTACGCTGCATTTAATTTACTAACCGCTTGCTTGCATGCTGGATCTCTTTATTTCAGGTGGTGGGTTTGCTATATTGTCTCATTATTGCCTACTGTACTATCTTCTATCAACTTGCACACCTCGCTCAAGTTACGTGTAGTTAACTTTGACAGCATTTTCCTATTTGTGGCATTTTCCTAAAATATTTTCTGACGTCTTGAAACTATAGCGGATATTTTGACAACTAATTTATTTCAAATGCTTATTTATTAAAGAGCTATGTCGGCATATCTGTATGCATTATTCGATTTATTTTATTTGATATTGTCGTTTCAAGTGATTGGCTATTGCTTTATATTTCCTGCGTGTCTGCGCTTGATGTGCATGTTGACAAGGTGCCTACCTGTCTATTACCCACTACATCGTTCATACTGGCTCCAGGAGACAGTTGGTCGTTGCTGGAGGGGACGGGGTGCACGGTCCTTGTGGCCGTGTTAGGCTCGAAGAGTGGTTCCATGCACTCAGTGTGGAGCGGACTACGGTCCAGCCACCGCCTTGTGTGCGCTTGATTTCCCAAATACAGCGTGCTTGTGTTTGCCTGTGAAGGAGTGTGGGCCGGATGCGCTGATGAAACGTGGCTCCCATCCACATGCCTCCCGGTCTTATTCCTTCGGGTTTACACTGGATGTGGGGTGGGTGGTTGGAGCTGTGGGTGGTGCAGCGCAAGCCACCCGTTGTCCGTCTGTAGGCTCAGGCGTCCCGTGTCTTGTCACAGTGATAGGCAAATCCGAAACCGGATGCCGCCACCCGTACACACTTTATATATATATATATATATATATATATATATATATATATATTGCATTTTTGTTGGGATATGCATGTTACCAGTAAGTATCCATCCATTATGTGTGTGTAAAATTCATTCTTGTGTTTACATGGCTTGACTTCTTTACGATCCACTACTCCAAACGTTCAGTCGGCCAATTATCGTCGTCTTGCATGACATGTGAGCCCCACTTGATGCAGCTGGTAAGGTTACTCTTTGAACTTTCCCGTTTAGAGGGTGAACTTCCTTCAACGATGTTAGGTCCTCGGTCTCGTCTTCGCTTCTCAGGCTGTGTACCCATATATGGGAATCTTTCCACCGCTCCTCGGTCTCCTTCCACTGTCAGTTAGGGGCAGTTCTTAAAGAATTTCTTGATGACACAACAATTTAAAACTGGAATAACACTAGGTTAGCAAAATTCGCAGTTTGTATCATTCCTTGAACCGTTTATCTGACATGTATAACTTTCCGTTCACTCTACTGCTTGCCGCTTCTCGGCCGAGTAGTCTGCGCGTCTGGTTTGCAACCATAAGGTCACCGGTTCGAATCCGCGTAGGGGTGGGCGTCCTCGCAGTCTACTCAGCCCGCGCGCGGCTGGTGGTGTTAGCGTGGCAGCGAAGCGCTGTTACGACGTACAGCTGACACATTACTATTTAATTTTTTCTTTTCCTGCTTTTCGCTTAGCGATGATAAGCCAATAGGTCGACGACTACAGCATACCCATATTTATGCGTTCTTGAGACGGTTGTGACTTCGCCAACACACAGCCTTTGTCTACTTAAATCCACACAATCTCCAAAACTATAAATATTAGCAGCTTCTTTAATCGCTGTGGTCATTTAGTATCAAGCCTGATTACACGATCGATGGAATCAAGTGATTCTGTGTTTATGTTAGTTTTTCTTCCTTGAACCGCCTGTTCTTGTGGGTTCTGCACCTCCGGAGTTTTGTCTACTGAACGCCCTCGCCGCATCTGACTCGGAAACAGTGTACTTTGCGTGCTAACCTTTTCCATCGTCGATGTAAATTGGTTAGCCGAAATTGAGCGAAAATTCGTTGCTTAATTCTTCCAGTTAGTCATTACGTACTTTTCGTTTACCGACGTACTCTTGTTGATGTGCCACATACTCCTTAATATTAACACTCAGGTTGTTGTCATTGGGCTTGTTTTTTCTACCTATATATGGTTTGGTCATATTTTTTCTTCTTACCGATGTGATTAACGAAATAAATTCCTTCCGACCGAAACCCTCTTAGCTACATCCGCGTGCATATAACTGGGGACTGTGATGTGGTGTACACGTTCTCCTCCACTTGAGCACATGGTGCGGTTCCTCCATACTTCAGCGTACGGGACATTGCAACACTGGCTTAACGCCGCTTTTATCTGGCTTAAGCACGCAGTCTTTGTTGAACAAACTCGGGTGTAGTCAGTTACAACCGAATCGAAATCGTCCCGTCTAGGTTGCCCTTTATCAGTCGCATTGCTCTAATTTTTCTAACTAATCACCAATTGAGTTCGACGTGCTTTTTTATTCATTTTGCTGACGCGATTAATTGTATCGTGTAATTCGTTGGTACAAAACTGTCCCGTCACCTACTCTGCACTTCATGCTAGATCACCTATGCCTCCTTGTATAGGCTGCATTACAGTTGTTGCATGCATTGAGCCATTCATGCGAAAATAGTAAGCTGCTTCCACTTACGTGCGAGAGGGAATCGTGAGCAGAATCCTTTGTTCGGACTTTACTTGTGCGATACAGTTTCTACCGCTAAGGATAACGAATGCGATTTGTGTGCCTCAGTTATTGCGCAGTCACCCAACAGTGCTCATGCCAAATTGGGTCTGTCGTCTCTAAACCAAGGTCGGAAGTGGATATTGCATTCGCGGCACGCTACTGTAGTGTGTCAGCCGCTGCTGACTTCATACCACCTAATCGATGACTCACTGCCAAGTTACAAGCATTCTTGCTGCCATTTGTTGTGGGTCAACTCCCAATTAAATTACATCGTGATTCGGGTCCTTGATTGCTAGTTAGCTCGTGCAGTCCAGGCGATGACAATTGTTTCTCATCTCCCATTTCGTTTCTTTACTTAACAACTTTCTCCCATGTATCTGTACTTCCGTTTGCCTGACCCTAGTCCATGACATTTAAAGCGTCATCTTCCTCACATGAAGCTGATTGGTATGCTGAAACGTACAACTTTAAGCAGAATCTCCTCCCGGCATATCAATCGTTTCTTGCAAAAATAATGTATAGCTTTGCAATCATTGATACATGTGGTCCACTCTGTCAACTTTCTGTTTTCTGTGAATAATTTCGGCTGTTCATTGGGGATCATTCGTTATCGATTGATCTTTTTCTATTTTATTCTTCAGTCAGTCGAAGCTACCTTTGAGGCTTTCCAGACAGCGTATAGGAATGCGATGCAAATTCTTTATTCCTCCTTGTCTGAACTCACAAATGTGCATGATTTTCTCGCCTTGATGGACGATCAAATGACGTGTGATTTTGAGCAAAGCTTGCAAGCTCTGTCGGTGAGTTAGTCAGTCTGTGCCGATCTCCTGTATTCCTGCGTTACTGTATTTATTTGCCCGCACGCATATTATGCATGGTACCGCGCACATCTATCACCGTTCAGCTCGACAACGAACCGCAGCGCATGTGTGCGATTTCCATTTTCGCGGATCTTTTACATTTGTAAGATTTGGTCAATTTGAGTTATTTCATAACCTTCATTGAATGGGCATCGAGTATCTTTTTCACTGGATTCGCATGCTTCTCTACCTACACCTTCAATTCGCTTGATACCACGCTTGCGATCCCGTACGTGCACAGGAGATGAATGACGACAACGAACCCATTCATCCGCATTGTATGTAACATACCAGCATCCTCATCATCATCCTCATCACCAATACACTTTAGCTGAGGTTGAGAAACACGCCTCCGCTAATGTGCCGCAATATAGAAAGATAAGATATTAAAAATAACACTACAAAAATTCGAGAAATCAAGTTATATGACGTTAAGTATCATCTTATTACTTTACTATGAGATCATGCTTGGAGAGGGAATCAAAAGGAGTGGGGAATGGACAAAGTAACTCACAACACAAACGCCATTGGGGCCGGCTCCTAGCCATGTCAGCGAATGTGTCCAATCAAACGTGCTCATCGTCCTTCGGACTCCAACCCGATAGTCGAGATGCACCAACCTATGCCAACTTCGAAGTGAGGATTTTACTCCTTTTGACCGTCATTGCTTGGCCTTCTCTCCACTTCGTCCATCCACACTCTCGTCGTGCAAACAACGCACGTCGCGGGAGTCTGTTGGCTGGCATACGCAACACGTGCCCAGGTCATCGGAGTCTGGTGCGTGATACACTGGGGCTGAGCGGTTTACTCGCTCTTCCTACACCAAATACGCGACGCCGAACAAATTCATTGCTCATGTGGTGCTCCAACCATATATGAGCTAAGCTGTGAAGGCGGCGATGATCGAACGTGGCTAGCCTCTTTATGTCTGTCGACCTGATGGGCCAGGTTTCACAGCGGTGCCGGAGGGTTGAACGTACGACTGCATTGGAAACTCTGCCCTTCAGGGTAAGAGTGCTGTCGCGTCGCCGCCACAGATGGCGGAGATTGGCAAAAGCACCTCTTGCTCTTACTATACATTTCTTGACCTCATCTTCAATCCTCCGGACGATAATATAGCTGCCCAGATATTTGAATCCCTGAACTACTTCTAGCTGATCACCAACGTGAGTCGGTAACAGAGGCGTAGGCAGAGCACGTAGGCTGTCCGCTGCTTGCAAAGGTCATCAGCACGGGCATGCTACGACCCTTGACCTTTCCGCTGAATTTGGGAATCGAGTGAGAATTGATCGACCAGAAAATACCATCCCGCATCAAAGGGATCAAACTATTCCGTCAATATGATAAACCCGTGGAGCGGGATTCACTCGCACTGGCTGAAAACCAGACACAGAAGAATGAGTGACTTTGAACTCCTAAATTAGCATGTCTTGTTTACCAATAAATAGAGTTAACCTATCCTGTAGATATACTCTCTGTCTACCGAGTTCTGGCTTTTGTATTCCTTCGGTTGGCTGGGCGCGTGACTGATCAGTCAGACAGTTGCAGTCTCACTGTGCAGTAAAGCAAGCAGTACAACAGTTGTCAGTGGCAGAGAGCATAGGGAAAGAAGAGGCAGTACAACAGTCAGCGCAAGTGTACGTCCCTGCTAATCTTGGAGAAAGACTTTGCATTTCAATGGAGCGAAGCATAGCCCAAAACATTTGACATCCAGTACTAATCTGTCCAGTGCAGCTTTGCACGTTTGAACGCTGTCACGTGTGAGCGCAGTGTCGTCAGCATACTGCAAGTCAATAAGGCTCGCCAAGAAGCTGCTCCACACCTTGTATGTCGTGTCCATCGAACTCTGTTCCCACCATTTCATACATAACGAAGTTAAAGGGGCACGGTGACAGGGAGCAGCCTTGTCTCACACCACAAGACACTGAAGGACGGCGACATTTCTCCATAAACTCTCACTCTGCTCGAACTATGCGTGTAAATAATAATAATAATAATAATAATAATAAATGTAAATAATAATAAATAATGGTTTTAGATTCCCGAGTGAAGGAACACCTACCAAACTGGGTTCAGCGTGAAGTTACCCAATCCACCTCCGATGATACGTGTTCGCGTAAGCCGCCAGCGTCCTCCATAGGCAGGCACATCTTGGCGACTCGTCACCAGGTCAATCCCTTATCAGCTTTCCGGATCTTGTTACGTCATACTAATGCACGCCTTTTACGATTTGCCGAGGCCGTCGCGATAAGCCGAATTAGACCAGCTTTGTGTGTCCAAAAGCAATTAGTTGTCAACCTGCGGTTGCCGTGGACGTAATCTGATAACAATGACCACAACAATAAATTTGATTGGTTTGACTGTGCCCTGTAAGACATATAAAAGAATTTCCCTGTTATTGTATTGGTACTGACGAGATAATACGAAATGCTAGCATCTGCCAGTATTCGTCTTCTCATTTCGTTGTTCAAACTACTGAAGGGGACTAACTGTTTTAAATTTCTTAAGCGACGAATTCCCCCCGAAACTAACCGTTTGCTGCATCGTATTGTCAACCTAAGATGCAAGCTAGCATGCAAACGTGTGGAAATATCCTTTCTTTCCGAGTGTGTCACCCTACGCCGTTACCCGCGTTCAATGCTGAAACTATTACGCAGAAACAAGCTCGCGCCTTCCAATCGCAATCTAAGACGCATTGCATCAGCGCAATTAGACACGACCAAGGCAAAGCTAACAACTCTGATGGAGACACATACTCGCCTGATGCCGGTTGTGGAGAGCCTGTCCCTATGCTGCCGGATTGTCTTCTCAATCTTTTGCCAGAGACTTATCGCTCGCACGAAAGCAACTTGCAGAAAGCGTCTACTGAAATCCCTGATGGAAGCAAATGACCAACCCGTTACACGTGATCTCGGTAAGTACGTCTTGAATGTATCAAACGTACAGCTTGATGATATGCAGCTAGAAGCACTAGCCTTGGGGATAGATTACAAAGTTACTCCCAATAAGCTGAATCGATTGTTTGTTGAAGCACAGTTTGAGAATTTTTTCGACCAAGTCGCTGAACTTCAGTCAACCAGTCCTGATGCTGTCAGTTGGTTTAGGAATAAGCTGACCGACATTGCTTATGAAGTCCTCATGGTACCGGTAAATGAAAAGTGTGCGCTTACAAGCCGTCATTTAAAAGCACTACGAGAGCTGAGAAATAAGGGAGTGGTTGTACTAAAACCGGACAAAGGTTCAGGAGCAGTTGTCATGAACAAGAATGATTACGTACAAAAAATGTTAAGCGTTTTAAGTGATGAAAGCAAGTTTCAACACACCAACAAGATAGAATGTCTGACAGAAGTAGAGGCCCGTATAACCCGACACCTTGAAACGCTTCTCCTACATCGTGTAATTAATGAAACCACCTACAAGCACCTGAAGCCGAGCGGTTCCTCGACACCACAGCTATACGGGTTACCAAAAACTCACAAGCAGGGCATGCCACTAAGACCCATTTTGTCCATGGTAAATTCCCCGCAGCACAAATTGGCCCGTTGGTTAGTTCGGATCCTTGCACCACTAAGGCAGCACTACAATTTGCACAGCATTAAGGACTCTTTTGAAATAATTGAAGACCTAGACCAAATCAGCCTAGCCGACAAGGTTATGTGTTCAGTGGACGTTCAATCGTTATTTACTAATGTCCCTTTGCTTGAGACAGTTGATTACATTTGCCGCCTGATAGAAGAGGAGAATTTCCGTCTGCCAATACCGACAGACCTCCTGAGACAGTCCCTGTTACTTTGCACGGAGAATGTCGCTTTCCGATTCGACCACAACACGTATCGCCAAATTGACGGAGTAGCTATGGGTAGTCCGTTGGGACCCGTACTGGCTGATTTTTTCATGCTGATGCTTGAGAGGAAACTAAGTAGACAGATTTCTCAGCTGCCGTATTACAAACGATACGTGGATGATATCCTTGTTTTCGGTTCCTCAAAGATGCAAATCGAACAACTAGTAGATCAACTTAATAATGTTCATGACAACCTGATTGTGACTTTTGAATTCGAATCGAATGGGCGCCTTCCGTACCTCGACATTCTCATGAGTCGCAGGGATAATGGGCTGATTAAGCGATCTGTATACCGGAAGCCAACGTGGTCCGGCCAATATCTACACTTCACTAGCTTCTCACCGATGGCACACAAGCGTGCGCTAGTAAAAACATTATTCACTCGGGCCAGACGTATCTGCTCCAACGACTGCCTGGCTGAAGAGTTAGAGCTGATCACTAAGACACTTATGGAGAATGGCTACCCAAAGCGATTCATAGACAAACATAGCCAAGTTAGACCGCCCAAGGAGATGGTGTTGACAGCCCCTAAGAAGAAGGTGTACATTGAGCTCCCATTCAAGGGTGACACTGCAACGAAAAGAATAACCAAACGGATTGTCTCGGCCATTCAGCGTACATACTGTGCTGCGGAGGCGGTAATTATCAACAGAACCCGAAAGTTGCCGTTACCTTCAGTAAAGGAAGATGAACCCGTCGGCGCCAAATCCCATTGTGTCTACCAATTCGTGTGTGACTGTGGTATCAGTTACATCGGCAGGACCGAACGGGTTTTAGATTCCCGAGTGAAGGAACACCTACCAAACTGGGTTCAGCGTGAAGTTACCCAATCCACCTCCGATGATACGTGTTCGCGTAAGCCGCCAGCGTCCTCCATAGGCAGGCACATCTTGGCGACTCGTCACCAGGTCAATCCCTTATCAGCTTTCCGGATCTTGTTACGTCATACTAATGCACGCCTTTTACGATTTGCCGAGGCCGTCGCGATAAGCCGAATTAGACCAGCTTTGTGTGTCCAAAAGCAATTAGTTGTCAACCTGCGGTTGCCGTGGACGTAATCTGATAACAATGATCACAACAATAAATTTGATTGGTTTGCCTGTGCCCTGTAAGACATATAAAAGAATTTCCCTGTTATTGTATTGGTACTGACGAGATAATACGAAATGCTAGCATCTGCCAGTATTCGTCTTCTCATTTCGTTGTTCAAATAATAATGTGTCAGCTGTACGCCGTAACGGCGCTTCGTTACCGTGCGACCACCACCAGTCGCACGCGGGCTGAGTATACCGCGAGGACGCCCACCCCTACGGGGATTCGAACCCGTGCCGCAAGTTTACGAGACAAGCTCGTTACATCTAGGCTACGGGTCACTATGCGTGTACAGCGCTCTGACAATGTTTACGTCTTTTTCGGGCATACCATTCCTGAGCAGACAGCCCCAAAGGACACATCGATCCCATGAATCGAAGGCACTTTTAATGTCGAGAAACATGACAACGGTGGGTCGCCAATAAATGTGGCGGTGCTCCAACGGTTGACACAAGGTTAAGATGTGGTCGATGCAGCCCCGACCTCGACGGAACACGGCTTGCTCCTACTGCATCTGGATTTCGCGAGCGCCATTCAGTCTGTAGCGCACGACAGACACAAGCAATCTAGAGTCATTTGAGATCAGACTGATTCCTCTATGATTGCCGCATTCCGAACGGGGAGCTCCCTTGCAAATTGGGACTATGACGAAGCGGCTCCAGTCTGTCGGCACACTTTCCTACTTTCAATTTCCACTAGACACTTGTGTACATCATCTACAAGAGCAGGTCCCCGAATTTGAAGTGGGTTGGAGGAAGTCTATCTGTTCCTGCGGCCTTATGCAATTTCGACAGTCTGATCTCACGTGCGATTTCTGTGCGTGAGGTCGGATCCACGGGGATGGCCATGGGAGTAAGGCGATCAATGGCGGTGGAGAAGCCGACAACTCTGATTGATAGATTTGGTTTTCAAACTGATCGGCCAACGCTCCAAGCGTTTTGACAAGCTGTGAATCGGCTGTCTACTCTCGTCGCGTATAGTTTCGCTAACACCAGGTCTCTTGCTGCCCATGCATGCCAACACCATGACCGAGGCACTCATGCTTTATCTGCGACTGAACATGTAGCGTCTGATTACCGTGTCCTGTGCTTATGCGTGACAGCAAGAACATAAAGCATTCGGCGGTCGAGCTTCCAACAGTTCTGCCCTAGCTGTTGTAATACACCCTACCTTTGGATAGAATGTGGTACCACTGTTGAGAACATAACGGCTCATTCAGACGAAGATTATAAGATTTATGACATCCTCTTCTGCAATATTTCTTTTATCAGCTACTCGTATGCCACTGTCGTTCCGAATCTAGTGCTAGCAACTAGCATTTTGAGTCAATCTCACCCTTTATTCATCTCTCTATATGTAACCTTCAACCGATCGGGAATAGCATTGGTATCGGTTGTTGTTTGTTTTACTAACTCAAATATCCTACTTCTTCCATATGTTCCCCTAGGTTTCTTGATCATGAGCTGTCTGTGTCACTTTACTCCCAACGTGAAACTTCAGCACTCCGCCTCACCTTAAAATTTCGACTCACTCGCCGATGATCATGTGCATCTCACTGTTTGACGTCGCTCTTTGAGTCTTATGGTTACTGGTGATGATTAACTTGTATTGCGCTTTCATTCTGACGAACCGTTTTTCTTTGTTCGGATTATGGCTGTATATAACGAACTACTACTTTGAATGCTGTCTTCCGTTTCAACTTTCATCTTACATCATCGCCCATCTGTCACGATCGGTTGAGACCATTCACAGAAAGATTAGCCTCTACGGATGCCGTTAAGCTCCTTGTTGATTCCAAACCACAAAGCAAATAACTTTCTGCTGGACGTATTCCTAACATCGAATTGGTCTCAATTTTCTTCATCACCACTCACGAAAAGACCGACACGAGTCGGCCCTTCTCCATCCAGCCCATTCATTCTACCGTTTGTGAGCACACCGTTTGTGACACACTTGCTGATATGGCTAAGAGCCGACCTCAGTGGCGTTCGTGCTGAGTTTCTTTGTCCCACCCCATCCCTCTTAGCCTCCCCCTCCATCCACGATCTCATTATTTAGCCTTATATAATTTCGCATAGTAATTTTTTTGATGCACAGCAGTCGGCTGGTAGCTTACCGGAACGATGCCCATCCATTACCGGTAGCTCAACTGGCTTGCACCAGTTGCTTTTTTTCTCCTTTTTTCTATGTATTGCGGCACAGTAGCTGAGGTGTTCCCCACCTCTAGCTAACGTGTATGATGAGGATGATGATTGTGAGCATTCCACCTTTTTGGTGTACTCTCTGTTCTTGGTGCGTGGTTATTTCCTCTGAGCTTTTGGCTACTGCTCACTTTTATCAAGCCTCCGATGCCAGCGTTCCACGTCCCCATAATCAATTTTTCGGGGCATCAAGCTGGTGTGTTTGCTTTTGTTCGAATCCACATTGCTTACGGGAATTCACTTTGCAATTCACAATCACTGCGGCGTTCGTTGTACCATTTACACTTCTGTTTTTCTTTCACTATCGACTTTTTACAGGAGAGACGTGAAGACGGTCTCCGGCAGACCTCGTTTTCCATGCAACGACGCGCCTCACATACGTGCGAACTGGTCTCGCGTAAAGTAGCCGCACGCGCAAGTGATTCGCATTATTCCGCCCACGTGCTGGAACAAGTCACGGCTCTACAAGACAAGGTGAGTGTCAGTTGATGTTCCCGTTTTATCACCGGTAACATTCCGACATCGATTTGTCCGGATGTAACAGTTGGCCTCCCGTTCAACGCCTGTTCTGATCAATTTGCGGATGATTATTCATCTATGCATGCTACCGCTCCGTCGTCCATCATGCTGTTTGCTTCTTTCGAACAACGCTACTTGGCACTCTCATACGCCTTCAGCCATACCCCGCGTAACTTGCGCTCTTTATCGACCCTTAGTGGGTCATCTTTCTTGCTATGCGTTAGTTACGTCTCGCAGCTAATAGGATTCATCGGGATAGGAAAACTTTTGTGCTTGTATTACCCATTTTATTATGTGTTGCAACGATTTCTTCTCTTCCCTCGTCCATTGTTTTTCCACCTCCTCTTTCACCGGCCACTCAGTACACTCCGCACTTCATTGAAGTCTCACGAGATGCGTTGAGCCGATTGGCTGCAAATCAACCGCCTGACGAGATGCGTTTCAAAGCAGCTGGCCGCAATCTGTGCCAAGCGCTACACACTATGCGCCTTGTTGTTTTAAACGAAACCGGCTTACCATCGGACTTTGAGGCACTTAGGTCCCACGAATCAAGCAGTCGCCTTCACTATCCGTCTGGTGCTTCGGATATCGTCAGATTGCCTGTCAGCCAGAGGGAAAGATTCACTCCGTTCGATCATCGTGAGTTTCCACGTTATTTGCATCCTGGGTCATGTACAATGCCGCTTTATGCACATGGTCACATTTCCATGTTTGGTTAAACTGTTTTACAGCTGTGATAGACCACTGTTTCTATCCCTCCCCAGCTTTCACAGATAGCATGCTAGTGTTTTGGCCACATTGTGTTTGTTTATCTCCATCACACGCTTGTCGCCTCATTGCGGTTCGTCTTCCCTTCTCCAACTTCTGCCATCCATCCGTATAGTCACCAATACTGAATTGGAAACGACACTCCAGTTGGCATTCGCTTTTCTCGATGCGGAAAACAGTTTGATCGGTATGCCTATTCGTCGTTGTCCTGTTTGACTGGGGTGATCTGTAACGATTCGTTCGCTTTCCATGTCTGTCCTCATCGCTGTCATTGGAATGGCATACTGACCCGTTTTGGCTTTCATGTGAATCACTCCACTGACATCCGTTGTCAAATTCGTTCTCCATTTTGTCAGCGCGCACTTGTCTTGTCTGCTTTAAGACATTCCCCTGCGATCGATACGCAGACCAGAGCTCCTAGCTGTCCACTTCGGGAACGGCACCTTTTATCTTGGAGGATTAACGGTCCGTTACACCACATTACGTGATATTTCTCCATAGTTTTAACTCTATCTCTTACTGTTGGAATCTGGCCTGTTTTCTGTAATCTAGATCAGCATCTCACCGTAATCCAAAACTCATTCCTAGGATTATGAGCCTCCGTGGTCATTAAGCGGCATGTGTCACGTTCAGTAACAGTACAACTGGAAAGTCGCTTACTTCACCTGACGGTACTTACAGGCTTGTGTTTTTGAACAAATATGTTTCGCATTTCACTCGAAATCATGGTGCTTCTCCACTGTTTCCGACGGGTAACTCTCCAGTTTAATGTGTTCTGTCTTTTGTTGTGACGATGCTGGATGGTTTGCATACTTCTCAGACCCAATTTGGTATACCAGGTGATGCCTCCTTGAGCCGTAGCTTCACCAGGTTGGTGAACATTAAGCGATCTGCGAAACTTTTCTGGTTCCCCAGGTTGGACGTTTGAACTAGGGTGGTCTAAATTTTGGATTATAATTATATTCATACTGCCCTTTGTTTAGGTTTTTTCAGGCGGTTATGGTAGCTGGGATTATCGGATTGCAAGCTTGTCAACCGCCGTCCACGTTGACTGACCACAATTACACGAAATAGATTTTGTGCTGCCTAGCATGAGCAAACAGGGTAGGTATGAGTTGGCTCGAACGCGGAAAACGAACAACCGAACTCAAGCAGACGGCACGTAACGGATCAGGATAATTACCTACAATGGAATAACCCTTGAAGTCAATGTTCACTATGAATGACCCTACCATTCGCGAGCAACAGTTTTTTGATTGCTGTTCGCACTCTGTTTTGGCTCTCAAAGGCGAAATTGACGTGGACTTTTAGCGTTCTTCATCCAAGGTTTGTGCACTCAACACCATCCCAGTCAACGTGCAACAATGGCTGTTCCAAAACACCCTAACCTACGCCTGCGTCAGCGATTGCGCACTCTCTAAGGTGTCACTTTGCTCCATGCGGCGGGGTTGTTGCTGCTGCTTCTCTTTTCCTACTTTTTACTTCTGTTAGTGCAAGGACCTACCAACTCAATTGATAGGCCCTAACGGTGTAGAATATCATATGAACAAATCAGTATGACGAATCCAAGAGACCGTTTTCAAAGTTCACCTGCTTTTGAATCAATCAGGACACAAACAAAAGACCCAATCGTTGAGACAACCTACCCAAACAACCATTGACGATGGCTTGTTAGAGATGACATGCATAAATATCCGATGCACACTCATCAACACAACGCTTCGTCTATCCGCATTGCAATTTATTGTCGTTGTTGCCTTGACTGTTTGGCAAACACTTGCAACAAAATATGCAGACTTAACAACTATTACAGTCATCAGATAGTCTTTATTGCTGGTGTTATTAATGCTGTGTTCCTCTAAAGTAGGTAGCTGGGATATTCTGTCTCAGTTACGGTCACCTGTCCAATCGGGGGAGCGTCGTTACAACTATGCAACAAAACCTCATCATGTTGGCTTCACTGGCAAACATTTTTGACTTAACCTTTGATGATAACATTACGTTACAATGAACGCATATTAAAATACCTTGATTTTTGCCAAAATCAACACTTGTGCAGTTGCCCGTCACCCGCCCAAGAGCTAGATTTCCGCTGTCTCATTGTTGCTTATTGACAGACGCAACTCAGTCCCGGCCGTAGCCACTTGTAGTAAAGAACGCCGGTCCCTTGTTCGACAATTGCGCAGTTTACAAACGGATCGGGAAGCCTGGTGGTTTAAACGTGCTAAAGAGATGAAACGCTTCTCACTCTGGTAATACCAGCAAATCTTTCCATCATATCCAGTTCACCGAAAGCTTCCGATATGCAGTAAATGAAATAATCCGCGAAGAGAATGACTCCTTAATGGCTGATCTTCAACGACGGCTGGAGCGATGAGCTAAACATTTCGACTCGCAATTTTGCTGACCGCCAGCTTCATCTGCCTCCTCTGGAGGCGCACTAATCTTGAGCGTTCTCACTTCGCAGATCCTCTCTCACCAGGAAATATGACAAGAACTCCTCATGAAGCGTTATAAAGCACCCGCCCCTTATAGCCTACCTCTGGCTACTTCGAAAACTCGTCGCTCTGTTTTCAAGAGTTTGGTTAATAAAGGGCCTGTGCACAATGTGCTCCAGTCACTGAGGTATACGTCTGATTCCTGTCGTTTGTGAGCTTCCGGTGTTCTTCATACTTCGCAGTCCATCCGCAACGCGTAGATTGCTACAGAAAGAAGTACAGGTTGCGTTCCGCCCTGGTTGCCGCTGCATCGATTAAACTTTCACACACCGCTAAATCCTCGAGCTTCGCCATGTGTATCGAAAACCATCAGCGGTCGTATTCCTCGATACCCGTGCTGCTTTCGACTCTGTCGACAGGGCTTCAATGTGACACTATCTGTTGAGGAATGACATTCCCGGGCAGCTCGTTTCCGTACTACGCTCTGTATAGTCTGACCTCGGGTATAGTTAGGGCTTATGGTAAGCTTTCGCCTTCCTTTGTTGTCATCATTGCGGTTCGACAAGGATCGGTGGTCGTCACGGGCTTGTTAAATTAACTGCGTCCCCATTGTCCTCTCGCTATTACTTGCCCACATCCGGAGACGCTGATGCGGCAATCTCTGGTCAACCTGGGGTCGGCATCATTATCATCTCCAAGGCTGAGTCGTCATTGCTTGATTGGGTTCCCGCGAACAGCCGTTTGATGACTTCAACTAAGGTTGGTTCACGAAGCAGTACAAGACGCTGTTTGTTTGTGGTTTCCGCTTATGCTCCCGCCGACTGCATTTCCGATGCTGCTAGGGACACCTTCTACTCCGAACTGGATATCCTACTTCGCGGTGTTGCCAATTCACATCTCGTTGTTGTTGCCAATTCAGGTCTCGTTGTTGTTGCAGGGGATATGAATGCGCAACTAGGTCCTTTGAGCTCTTCAGATGCTCTGCTAGATGTTAAACATAGACTTAACTCCAACCGGACAGATAACGGCGAGCGTCTGCTGCGACACTGCGCGGCGCACCAGCTGTTTCTTAGTGGAACCGCTTTTAGACACAGTGGACGTCGAAGTGCCATTTGGTGTCCCCCTAAAGCTAGCCAGCGATGGACTAAAATAGTTCACGTTGCCATAAGTTACAGGTGGTGTGGATTGTCACTCGTTTTGGGATACTTGTGTCGACTTTAGTGTACTATCGTTTTCCCATGAACTTTACCGGGAGGCGTATCAAGCGCCTCCCTCGATTTGCAACTAAGAATTTCTCTCAGCTCTCCGTCAGACAAGCGTACCAGGATGCTTTGCGTACTGGACTTTCGCTGTTTTGGCTTAATGACACTGTGCTCCAGTAGAATAGGATCTCGGCGCCATGCACCATGTAGGAGCGTCCGCTTGAGGCACTGTCAATCATCACTGCATCAGTCACTGGATATCCGAGTGGTCGAGGAACCTGTTGGAATCCAGAAGAAAACTTCTGGCTCGCTCTTAGTACACTTGAACCAGACGGACTGTTAGATAGGAACTAAAGCGGAGACTGCGTGCTGACAAGGAAGTCAGGCGTACCAGTTGGGCTCAAGAAATGGAGCAGGAAAGAGCTCTAGGCAACTATCGTAAGCTCTTCCAATTGATCCACACTACTGATCCTAGGAAGCCAGGCGTTAGTGAGACAGTCATAGATAGTAGAGGTGCCACGATTCACAATAAAGGACGCCATATGGCTCGTTTGGGGGAGCACTTTCAAGATCAGTTAGTCCAGGTAGGTGAGGGTTTTGTCTACTTGTGAAGCTTCGTCCCTGTTTGTCGGCATTTGGAGACAAGAATCCGATGCATATCTCAAGAGCTCCCCTCGCTCTCTTTAAGCTGAGGCACTTGGGGTGCCGCCATGACATCCGTGTATCCATCAAATGGCGGGTTCATTGAGCGACTGTCCGCGCTGCACTATTTTACGGTTAAGAGACGGCCTGTTCGTAGCGTTGATTTGCGTCGTCTGTCTGTCTTCGAGCACCGTTTCTTGCGGTCCATTGCTCGTGTGTGGTGGATGCGCCACATGACCAATGTGGAAGTTAGTGTATCTTGGGTGGAAGTACCCACTCGCTCGAGGTGATCGTCTCACTGAGGTGGCTTAGACAGATAATGTACATGTTTGTTCGGCGTTTTCCGCGTCGTGCGTTATTTAGGGTTGCTGGACAGGGCCGGAGGAGGAGGCGTGGAGAGGCGGTATGAAAAAGATGACGAAAGAGTTGGCGTCGGTCGGTTGTCCTCCACTCCCTGGTTGGCGTCGCAGTGACACTGATTGTCGCTCATTGGAGACAATGGAATTCGAAAAGCACGGTAAGAAGACGAAAACTGGTAGATGCATGCATTTCGTATTGTCTCCTCAGTACCATTAACAATAACCGGTATGCAACTATATACTTAAATATGTGTGTGACCGAATAAGCATAAGGTGAAAAATGAATGACGGAAGTTCCACACTTATGTCCACGGCAGCTCAACCGATAGGGGCCAATTCACACTGCATATACAAATTCGTATGCGACTGCGGAGACAGTTACATAGGCAGAACCAATCGGTCTTTGACTTCCCGAATAAAGGTACACGTGCCAAGGTGGTTTCAACGTGAAATTGACCAGAATCCCTGTCCCACTGAAATTCCGCGCTTGCGCAAACCGCCAGCTTCCTCAATAGGTAAACACCTACTGACTACGCGTCACCGGAT